ACAGTTTCATTTATAAATTGGACGAAGTAAGAGATTAACAGTAATAACTAATAAAATAGAACTATAACAATATACTATAATAAAAGTTATGTGAATATAGTCTCTGTTTCTCTCTCAGACTCTCTTATTGTACTGTACTCACACTTCTCGTGATGATGATGATGGTATTCTGCAGACTGCGGTTGACCAGGGATAACTGAAACCAAAGAAAGAGAAACTACACATAAGGGGGAACTACTATATTTTCTGGAAGTGATTGTGGAGAATTGGTATCATTTCTTCCTTAAATGTTTGGTAGAAATTACCAGTGAAGCCTGGTCCTGGTAATTTCTTTCTTTGGAAGGTTATTATTGATTCAATTTGTGTCATAAATATAGGCTGACACAGATTTTCTATTTCTCCTTGTATGAGTTTTGGTAGTTTGTGTCTTTCAAGGAATTAGTCCAGTTTATCAAATTTGTGAACATAGAGTTGTTGAAAGTATTCCTTTAGTATTCTTTAAATGTCATTGGGATCAGTGGTCATGACCACTCTTTCATGCATGATACTAGTGATTTGTGTCTTTTCTCTTTTTTCTTGGTTGGTTTATTAATTTTATCGATCTTTTGAAGAACCAGTTTTTGGGTTCATTGATTTTTTTTTTTCCTCTATTGTTTTCCAGTTGTAGCAGCCTGTTTTTCTGTCCTGCTTATCTTGGATGGTTGACTTCTGTCATCCATTCTGTATTTCACCTTCTCTGGTCTTTAGCCTGAGCTGAAGGGACAAATTTATGACCTGTAGGGTATACCAAACTCAATGCTGTGTGGTAGAGATGTTGTAATTGCACCTAGTTTCTTCATTGCTATTTCTTTTTCATCGTTGTTCTCTATTTAGGATAGTTTTGCAAGCAAATCACTTATTTTTCTTTGTTTGTAGTGTCCTTTAAGATACTCAATTATGTGACTCTTTAGTGTCACTTCTTCCTGTGATCCTAACATTGATTGATCTCGAAAGGAGTATCAGGGAAATTGGCTTCTGTTCCTCAATAGGTTTTGAATCAGAGTTTTAATGAGGAACATTATAAGTTGCTGGTTTGACCTTTTTACTTCATAAGTGAAGAAGAGATTTAGGCCCAGAGAAATAAATGGAATTTCCAAGATCATACATTGGCTATTGGCAGGGAGAAGCTTGTGATTCTTAGTCCTGTGCTTTTTTCATCTTGCTGCTTATTTATCTCTTTTGACTTATTATCCCTTGATACTCCATCTTTCCCAATTCTAATCTGAGAAGTCTTTGCTTCTCATTTCCTTTATGATAATGTTGTACTTTTAAGATATATAAAACATTGAGTTTCTTGGGCAAAATATTAATAACATAGAAAACTGTATTGGAATATACAGAGTTGCTAAAAATGACAAGTAATAAGATACTTTTAAATGATTTGATTATTTTAGTTATTAGCATCTGAAATTGAGGCAAGAATAAAAGACACATTTAGTTATCAGAATGTAGCTTTGGAATATTGTTTTAAAAAAGATTATGCTAAACCAAATAAGCTGTGGAGAATCAATAAATTTCCAAGTTAATTTCTAACTGTTAGCATTAGCCAAGATGAATGTGATTCCTTTTAATGAACCAGCATTTAACAATCTGTGGAATTTATTTTGGCTGTGTGCTTTTGTTTCAGACAGAACCAAGTTATATTATTAGATACATTGGAACAAGAGATTTCAAAATTTAAAGAATGTCATTCTATGTTGGATATTAATGCTTTGGTGAGTATGATTTAGTTGGTGTAACTTAATGACATCTTATATTAGAAATAGTTAAGTTTATCCTCCCAACTTTGTACTTAAATGTATATTTAGAATCTTATTGTCTAATTTTTAAAGTTTAGAATTTCATTTTAGGAAAAATGGGAGGATGATGCAGGCCTTGAGAAGTAAGAGAGAAGGGAAAAAGTACCTTATTTTCAGACAAAATAATAGAGAAAGAAGAAATGAGAGAAGTATCAGTAGAAAGATTTTCAATCTTAATGTGGCCACAAGTACAGTCATAGCCTGATTTTATAGACATTCTTTATATCTCTCTGAGCCTTCCAGTTTTCATTTCCTAGATGATAATCAAAGCCACCTTCGGCTGAGAGAAGAAAAGAGAGGAAGACTCCATTCTGCCCCTTCAGACTGAAATAACAGTTACAATATCTGCTTGGTTCCCTTGTAATGGCAGTAGAGAGTGCTTTACTTTTCTTAAATGAAACTGAGGGTCCTTTTTAACAAGAAATCTTGATTTGCTTAATAGAACTTCCATTGTCTTGAATTGTTATCTTTCAAATGTTGAATTTGTAATAGGAAATTGAACTTATTTATGAGTCTAGAATAGATCTGTTCATAATTAAAGACTTAAAAAAGAGAACTGAAAGTAAGGAACCTTTGAGGTACTATTTTTTCCTTTAAGGAAAGTGCATGTCTCTTTACCAGTTACATGGTTTTTTAAATTACCGTTTTATTTAATTGTATGGCATATTCATAATGCTATAATAAATTAGCACCATGGGCTAAAATGGACACTTTGAGAATGATCAGTTATATTTTTCAATATGAATAGTTGAATAGTTGAATTTCATCAGAAACTCTATAGCTTTTTCATGAGAGGAACTGATACTCTTTATTTTAAGAAATGGGAAATAAACAAAAATAAGAAACTTGTTGCTACCTTTCTTTTTCCCTTGAACATTAAGAATAGCTTGATTTGCATGATTTTGTAGCCATTCATATATACTTCAAAAAATGGACTTTTCATTGAACAAAGGTGGCTTACTAATGTTTTCCTTTTATAACAGTCAAAAGCAAAGTCCATGTTCTCTAGCATTAGACAGAGGCCTGTGATAGTAAACAGAGTCTTCTGCCTAGTAGTTCCTGACTTTTTGTGAAGGAGGTGGGCAAGGCTACACTGACCTACTTTTGTGTTCTCCACTGAGTTCATATTGCAGTAGAAGGAATGTTTGTTGAACGAATGAATGAATCAAGCAGATGTAATAACTGTTGCTTCAGTTTGAAGGGGCAGAAAGGAGTCTTCCTCTTGTTTTCTTCTCTTAGCCAAGAGTGGTTTTGATTATCATCTAAGAACTGAAAACTGGAAGGCCCAGAGAAATATAAAGAGGGTCTGTAAGTTCTAGAGCTTATCAAACTATGACTTTCCTTTCCTTCCCTTTCCCTTTCCCTTTCCTACAGGGTCTTGCTCTGTTGCCAAGGCTAGAGTGCAGTGGTGTCATCATAGCTCACTGTAACCTCAAACTCCTGGGCTCAAGTGATTCTCCTGCCTTAGTCTCCCAAGTAGTTGGGACTACAGGTGTGTGCCACCACACCTGACTAATTTTTCTATTTTTTGTAGAGATAGGGTCTAGCTGTGTTGCCCAGGTTGGTCTTGAACTCCTCCTGGGCTCAAGCAATCCTTCCGCACTGTTCTCCCAAAGTGCTAGGATTACAGGTATCAGCCACCATCCCTGTCCCAGACTGTGACTTTGCTTGCAGCCATATAAAGGTTGCAAATCTCTCTACTGTTTCTTATTTCTTCTTATTCTTATTTCTTCTTTTTCTTATTTCTGTATTTCTTCTTTTTCTGTTACTTTATCTGAAAATAAGGTACTCTTTCCCTCTTCTCTCATACTTCTTTAGGCCTACATCATCCTCCCGTCTTCTGACATGAAACTGTATTTTAGGCTGTGCAGGCTGGCTGAGATGTAAAGACTGTACTTATAATTCCTTGGGAAGCAAACTGTCCTCATAGAGGTTGTTCTATTTTCTGAATTCAGAAGCCCAAGGAGTAGAACTAACTTGTCCACAGTTCTCTCAGGGCCTTCTAGCCACAGCTTAGGTTTTCCTGATGGGCACTTTACTTAAACTGTCTCATGTACCTTGACTCATTCTCTCTCCCTTGTAAAGGCAGTAGAGAGTGTTTTACTTTTCTTAAATGAAACTAATAACATTATTGGATAGTCTTACTGAAATTTTAGGATTATATTGCATGTTTTTAAAGCAAAGTGTTGTCTGTACCCAATTTAATATAAATGTCTATTTTATGTTTAGTAGCTCTTTTTTGTCAATCTGAACTGAATCAAATGTTTTTAAAATCCTGCTCGTGGCTTAAATGAAATTTTTATTCTGGAATTAAAATGTGGAGATAATTAAGACTCTAAAAAAATTTGACCAATTTAGGAAGAACGAACTGTAATATTGGCATTGATTTATTTATCCATTTTGATATTTCAGTGTACTTTAACTTGACTCTTCATTTTTTTTTCCCATGTCAAGTTCACTGAGGCTAAACACTATCATGCCAAATTGGTGAATATAAGAAAAGAGATGCTGATGCTTCATGAAAAGACATCAAAATTAAAAGTGAGTTGAAAATTGTTTTATGTTCTTTACAAAAGTAGAGGTTTATTGTTTTTCTTCAGTATTTTTTTTTGACTTTTTATACCTCGATATACAATAGCATACTCAATTTATGATACATTGTTTTCTTTTAAAAAATGTCACGTTTTTGAACCCCACTCTGATCTTCTTTACTAATAGCCGGGCTAGTAGCTCATATTCTCTGGATATTTTCTGCAGTTCTCATTTAATAAGAGCTTAGAGTAACAGCTCTTTTTTTGGATAAAAGAGACCTTTAAATTACTCCAAACCAACTTAAACGTTAAATATTAAATTTATTAATATGTATTGATTACCTCAAATCAAAGCATTATTATTTTTAAATTAGGTCATAACCTGTAACCTTTGATTGTTTTCTTGGTTTTAAATTTTTTTGACATAGAAAAGAGCCCTTAAACTGCAGCAGAAGAGGCAAAAAGAAGAGTTGGAAAGGGAGCAGCAACGAGAGAAGGAATTTGAAAGAGAAAAGCAGTTAACTGCCAGACCAGCTAAAAGGACATGAAAAGTTGTGTTTGTGTGTTTTCTTTCCCTAGCCCATATCTGGATTAAGATGACCTAAGTGTAGACTGAAGTTGAGGTAGTGCCTTATACCATGATTGCTGTGTCTCCATGTCTTCATTTCAGCCATTCAAAAGCCTTTCTTTCTAAGTAACTTACATAATGTTACTTGGTTTTGATATTTTTATGTAATTTTTTCAACTTTTGTTTAATTTTAAAATTCATTATTTTGGCCTTGAATCATTTTATAAACCGGAAAATGGTTTGTTATGAGTCTAGATTCTAGTGGTTAAAAATTAGTATAATTTTTTTAGCTTCTTAATGAATGTAGATTTCAAAGTTTCCATTTGTTATTTTATGAAATGACTACTTGCCTTTCTGGCAGTACAATGCTGATTTTTGGTAATTGCCTTCTTATCGCTTAGTAAAGAAGAAATGACAACTATTTAATCATCGAAGCCCCTGTAAGCCTTTGTGAAGAACATAATGGAAAAATGCATGCACAGGATATGATGGCACTTTAGACATAATGTAGGTAAGCAAGATGCCAGATAGATTCTACTAACCATGCACTCTCTCTGCTTCTTAGTGGTGGTGTTGCTACTTCTGTAGCTCTTGGATTCAAAGTAGATTATATCTGTTCCTAAAGTTTGATGGAGGTGATGGAGCTATCACATGCTCAAATGAGCTTATATATTTATAATACTTAGTCATCACACACTGAGATACGGTTTCTGTGCTTTTAAAAAATTCATAAAGTAGAATGGTATGTAACAACTATGCGCTTTATAGATAAATGGTAGGAATGGTGGAAAATTAGTAAATAGCTTCACAAAAGAGGCAGCATGATATCTTTGGTGTTTTCTAGAATTTTTTTCTGATATTTTATGTAGGAACTTATTATGTGAGGAAAATGTTATGAAGTTTAAAATCGAGAACATATTATTCACTGTTTTGGTACTATTTAATATCTAACTGGTCTCCTACTACATAGGGACTGTACAGAACCTGCGAAGGTATGCATTTAGAATGTGTATCTTTTAGAACTCATATTACATTTTTGGTAAGCTGGAATCACTACCTCTGATCACATATCAGGCTAATGACGGAGAAAGCATTAGATTTGAGTGTTAAGAACTGGTCTGTTTAAAGATTTAAATAGTTTGTTCAAAAGAGCCTTTTCCTTCTTTAATGAATGAATTATGACTTCACAATTCATTTACTTTGACCTCGTATTTAAGAATTTAAATATATTTTATTTGAAAAGGCTTAGTGTTGCCGTCGAACACTTACCATAACTGCTTAAGGCAGGATATATTAGGGCTTGCAGGACAATATCACCTAAATTGCTGAATGTACTCATTTATAATATATCTGACAAAGGCAGGGCATTGTTTCTCAGAGTGGTTTTGGACCAACTGCAATAGTTGTTTAAAATGCTGGTTCCTGGATACCATTCTCAATTTACTAAAGCACGTCTGGATTTTTTGTTTGTTTTTTTTTGTTTTTAAAGTTTCCCCCAGTGATTCTGATTTACCTTAAAAGTTGAGAACCACAGGTCTAGTGGTTTAGGTCAGGGTTTCCCACACTAAGCTGCATAGTATTATCACCTGGAAACTTAAAAAAAAAAATACAGACATTCTGGATTCTTGATCATAAGTTATGATGTGGAGCCCATGTATTTTTTAAAGAGCTCCCAGATATGATGTAAGGACCCACTGGTATAGACTATCTAAAGATTTTTATTTATAAGCAGTGAAATAGTTTAAAAGCTACCCAGTAACTCTTAGGATTAACCTTATGAAATAAATTCTGAACTGCTGCTTTTGATATAGTCAGATTTAAGACTGAACCCTTGTAGGCAGGAAAGAGATATAGAATTCTGGTTAGTTAAATTGAACTTTTGTGACCTGTATTAAAATAAATCATGTTTATTGAATGAATGGCAAGGCACATCTACTTTCAGAATTGTATCATTTAAGTTTTGAAGACTTTTAAAAATTTCATCAAATGAATATATATTAGCATCCACTATTTTAAAGTCAGTTGTGAATCAGAAGTACTGTTATCTTGGTAATTAAAATCTAAAACTTTAGCTGTATTTCAGTAACATAGAAACATATCTTACTGACTAAACCTGAGTGGAACCCTTACAATTAGTCTTACTGTATTTTTGTACAAAATAGTGAATACGTATTTAGGAAGTTTCTGGGTTTTGGCTAAAAAAATTGCCTTTGTTTTGAAACTATATCAAATGTGTACTGCACTGAAATTATGGGAGTTCATTTTGTATTTATTTTGTAGAAGTGTCATGTAAATATGCAGACGTTGAATGTAATATGTTAATAGATTGTGTCCAGAGTGAGTTTTTGGGTGGATACAGTTTATAAATATACCACTTTATGTACCCTCATACATTTGTCTGATTTTGAGCTTGTAAGATGAGAGCTACTTTTTACATATTTAATAAAAAAGTCACTGAATTATCTGATGTCATTTATCAAGCACCATTCTGTGCATAGCACCATATACTCCCCTTTATGTACATTATTTCAAATATTTTACTCTTTTGATCTCCTCTCCCATCATCTTCCTCTTAATCTCCATCTATTATGTCACAGAATTATGGATCCACTCATGAAATTCCTTTCAGAAGGGTGATAGAAAGTGTGAAAAGATTGTAGTTGAAATAACCCAACTTCATAAAGTTCTTCACTATTCTTTGGAAATAAAAATAATCGCTACTCCTTTTAGTGGTTTGGTAGAAAGTGCTTCCAAAGCATCCCTGTGGGTATAGCTGTAAGTAATGGAAATTTCCAGCTAATCGAATATTTAGGTCAGGTTTTTAATTTTTTTAAACTTGGAGGTCTTGGACCCCTGAGGGACTTCTGTGGATGACTTTTGGAGGGGACATGAGCTCTCATAAATTTCTCCCACAATTTTGTGTATGTGTATTTCTCAGGATTGGGTCTAGATTTCATCAGATTCATATGAAACCTTTGTCTGTCTGTCTGTCTGTCTATCTAAAATACCCTCCAAAGCAGCAGTCCCCAACCTTTTTGGCTCTGGGACCGTTTTCATGGAAGACACTTTTTCCATGGATTGGGGAGGGGCGGATGGTTTCAGGATGATTCAAGCACATTACATTTATCGTACACTTTATTTCTGTTATTATTACATTGTAACATAGTGAAGTAATTATACAACTCACCATAGGTTGGGGACTCCTGCTCCAAAACAATGATTCTTAATCATTTAACATCCAGTCTTCTCTGTGCACATATTTTAAGAAGTTATTTAGTTTCTAGATTTTTCTTTTGGATGAAGGTAGTTCCTATCTATGTTTGTTCAGATTTATCAGATATTTAAGATTTGTTCTGTTACTAGTTATTCCTGTTTTAGCTCAGGTTGCATTAATGTGGCCAGATGCCATCTAGTCTTCAGATTAACATTTGAGTAAGACAGGTTTTATTTTCAAAGCCAGTAAGAGAGAAATGAGTAGTCAGTTCTAATGACTGTAATTTGAAAAGGGTTTAAAACAAAATTCCAAAGAAACAATATAAAGGAAGGACAAAGAGATCTTGGGTAAAATTTAGGGTGGGATGGGGGTGGTAGTTGAGAAAGAGAAAGGGACAGCCTGAGACCATTGTGGAAGGTCAAGGTAATTTATCCTTCATGTACACACCCTGAATAATGGAGGCTTATAAGCATGTAAAGAATAATAAATTGGGCTGGGCGCGGTAGCTCACGCCTGTAATCCTAGCACTCTGGGAGGCCGAGGAGGGCGGATTGTTTGAGCTCAGGAGTTCGAAACCAGCCTGGAGCAAGAGCGAGACCCCCGTCTCTACTAAAAATAGAAAGAAATTAATTGGACAACTAAAAATATATAGAAACAATTAGCCGGGCATGGTGGCGCATGCCTGTAGTCCCAGCTACTTGAGAGGCTGAGGCAGAAGGATTGCTTGAGCCCAGGAGTTTGAGGTTGCTGTGAGCTAGGCTGACGCCACGGCACTCACTCTAGCCCAGGCAAAAGAGTGAGACTCTGTCTCAAAAAAAAAAAAAAAGAATCATAAATTAATAAAATCCACCTAATCCACTTTTAGGTTAAAAGTAGCAAAAAGTTGCCCACTACTGTTACTTCATTGTAAACTGAAGAAAAGTTTATAGCTGTTAATTCTGGTTTAGGCCATAAATATATTCCTAATGGGCTCCAGGAACCTTGCAATGTTCAAATCCTGATAAGGATGGGGCTGAAAATGACTCCAAGAATGTATGGATGCTTTACACTCTTATTTTTAAGCTTGACTTATTCATTAGAAAAGACAGTTAAAAAGCACAAGGGAATACTAAGAAACAAAAACATGTCTATAAACCTGAAGGTTCCCGGCCTCCACTTTGTGCATATAGGGCCTTAGTAATATAGTGGTTAGGACTGAGGACTCTGAAGTCAGACTGCTTTGGTTCATATTCTTACTTGATTTGGGGCCTTAGACAAATTGCTTAAACCCGGTCGGTATTCCTGTTTCTGAAACTAAAGTTGGGATAAGAGTTTTAGCTTCATAAGGTTGTGAAATTCCATGATATTTTTATAAAAGTCCTTAACAAAATAGTAAGAGCTCAAATGTTGGATGTTCTATTTCAGTACCCTGAACTCACATATCTATGTGAGGGCCCCTTTTTGCACATTTATTTTTGTTTCTAGGGTTTCCTCTGCCTATAATGTTTGCCTGTTGGATACCTGTTCATTCTTTGCATCTCAAATGTTATCTCTTATGGTTTTTCTCCCTGCCACCCAAATAATTTCTCTTTTTCTGTGTTCCCATGGTACTTCCATAACACATTTGCCTTAGCTCTCACAGTATTAGTTATATGTTCATGTGTCTTTCAAGATGTTGTGAAATTGTGTATTAGGCAACACAATTACTGCGAAGTGAGTTCTAGGACACAGTGACCAGAAGGCCAAGATAACTGCTGCTTCCTGAAAACTCCCGTCTTAGGAATGTTGATTGTAGGGAACCAAACAATCTCTGTAAGTAGAAGGTAAATAAATTAAGAAAGCAACCAGATGGCTTTACATGCGATTAGTGACTTTTTTTTCCTTTTCCCTTTCATTTTCATGGTATAAAAGGTTAGACAGGTGTACATTGCAAATGCAGAGATCTACTTTTTTGCTGCTACCCAAGACTGCCTGCTATATAAATTTCCCCTGAATAAATCTTTGACTACCTACAACCTGGAGTAGTCTACCTCTTCCTGAGCTTGCCCTCTACTTACGGAGGCAGTTCTTGGTTTTGGCAGGGAATTTTCCCAACAAAGGATTAAAGATATTTCTTCATCACCTTTTTATTCCATGGTGCAGTGCCTAGCCTATAGTTGTATTAGTCAGGGTTCTCCCGAAAGGGATATTTTTAAGGAATTGGCTTACATGATCGTGGGGGCTGGCAAGTCTAAAATTTGCAGTGCATGCCGGCAGGCTGGAGACCCAGGGAAGAGTTTATATTGCAGTTTGAGTCCAAAGGCAGTCTGGAGACAGAATTCCCTCTTCCTCCTGGACCTTCTTCTCTTACAGCATTCAACTGGTTGGATGACTCCCCCACCATTATGGAGATTCCCCCACCGTTAGTAGACTCAAAGTCTACTAATTTAAATTTAATCTTATTTAAAAGTACCTTCACAGCAACATCTAGACTAGTGTTTGATTAAATATCTGGGTAACATGGCCTAGCAAAGTTGCCACATAAA